TATTGTTGTTATTATTAAATTTTAATGTTTGTAATAAACCAAACGGCGTGACCATGCAGCGGTCAACAAATCTAATAACTACATGTTTAAACTTTTCATTCGTTTTGTTTTAAAATCCAAAATTTGACGATAACAGACAGTTTTCAACTTCCGGAACCTGCGCACAGTGTTACTTCCTTTTATCAAGATGTCGAAGAGAGGTATGTTATGGTTAGCGATGGGTCTCTTAGTAAATCTGTTCAAATCGTCTTTCATGGTTTAGTATTGGCCTGTATGTGTGAAGAGACTTTCAGCAATTGAATTAATCTAACATTGGATGAAGAATTTCAATTGATTGTCAAGGAGCAACTTGCTGAGAAATGGTTTGCTTTAACATTTCGTGTTCTGATAGATCTAGACAAGTGGTGAAATTTGTTTGCATGAGCACGAGAGCCGTAGCGCTAAGAACCCCCATAAAATTTCCATTTTCTAATTTGAGCAGATTTATATTCGAAATTAGCTTCTTGTTTCTTTTTGTAAAAGTTCGAAGTTCAGTTTGAGTGAATTCAACTTTTTGATTCGAGCGAAAAAGTTATGAGGTCTGTTCTCAAACGAAACAACGGAGAGCGGACCAACTGACATGGGGATGGACAACAACATTACATTTGACATCTAATCTTGATGTAGATATCTATATCTAGAATCTATTATTATTATATAAAGTCATACGGCCTGTCCTACAATACTTGGTGATCATATTGTTTCTATTTTTGTTTTAGATTTTCTAATCTAGAATCTAGAGGCCTCAGCAGGTTGTCTGCAATTTCAGAACTTAGGTAGGCCTACCAGAATCAGAATGAGAATCCGGAATGATGTGTGCTTTTTTAGCCTTTAGTTTAGAGTTTTTAGTTAGTAGGCCTATTAGATCTAGAAATCTAGATCTACATGAAGCTGCAGCGTTTGAAACGCCCTGTGCCAATATTTTGTAGTATTCACACAGGTGTTTATTTTTCTCGAAATCGCTAGGAAACGCTTGAAAATACTGGGAACGCTTCCGTACTGCACTCGAAATCACCTGCCTTTGTTATTGTACCTTTGGATGAAATCATCATTTTAGTATCGGAAGGCAGCCTAGAATCAAAGATTAGGCTGTGCTAGAAGGGAGTGTATAGTATAGTGTATACCGACCCAGTAGGGGATGTCTTTTTGTGATTTCGGAAAGTTTCAGCGCCCTCTTGGCTGAGGGTAGACCTAGAATCTAGATCTAGGTTCATCTAGGTCTAAATGAAGATTGCGGATGTCTTTTCGATGAACGATTGTTTTTCCTCCATTTTGGAGTTGGAGGAATTTCAATTTGAAGAAAAGAACGTCATAATTTCAACGGAGCAGTCACCCTCTCTCCTCTGTATCGACGCCTTCTCTTTTTCTTTGTTTGTGTCTTTCTTTCTCCCCACCTATTTCCCTCTTATCTTTCTCTCGTTCCCTCTTGCCAACTGAGGCATGTCATATACATTTTGCTAGCACCTCTCTCTCTCTCTTTCTTTTTCTCTCTCTCTCTCTTTCACACACACACTACCGGGTCTGGGCGCTGAAACTTTCCGAAATAACAAGAGTTTGTTCCCAGTTACCAGGTCTGTATACACTTCGATGCTAGAATCTCAGTATTTCTGGACTGGTCGAGGATAGCATTTCCAAATGGCAATTTCGTCACAGCCATGAGACGAAAATCAAGGCTTTGGTAAGCGTCCGGGGGTACGGTATCAAAGGGATTTCGAGTGTTTTCAAGAAAAATAAACACTGGTATTCACACCATGTGCGAATATAATTTCATAGTATTCACTCACCCTGTGCGAATACAATTCCACTGTATTCACGTACAAATTTACTGGCAAATTTATGGAACGGGAACTGCTGAGGTTGTTTATATAAAGATATAACCTAAATTAGATCTAGATCTTGACTCTTGGCAACAGTAACTGGCGAGTGAAACCCAAGTCTTGGGGAGAAACCCTGGAAGACATCAAAATTAGTTGACAGAAATACGCCATCTATAATTGGTCCAATCACAGAGAGGTGCTCGGTGCAGCTTCACGTGTTAGTATTAGATTCTAGCCCATGGCTATTTGTAAATTGGTTGTTGTTACTTGTTGAATGAACCAGAAAAATCTCCGGGTTTGACCCCAAGAGTAATGAAATATCAATTGTAACTTTGTAGCCTATAGGTTAGGGGTTGGGATTGTTGGGACGAGACTAATCTTTGGGGCAAAAACGGACTATCTTCAAGGTTTGGATTGAAAAGTTAGTCATAATTTCATTAATCATTGACATCAGTCGAGACACTGACAGTACTGACAGAAAGGCCCATCCACACTGATACTGCAAGATTTATTTTATTGTCTCAGATAACATAGGCATATTGCTAGATCTAGGGTCAGGGTCTCTTTATTTGTTGTTTGTGTTGGGGTAATTGTTCGTTAAAGGCAGTCCTTCCTTAGAATTATATCTAGATTAGATCTAGTGGTTTCTGTCGGCTCAAAGATTATGAATTTTATTGATACAGTGTTTTTTGTGCGTATGTGGTTCTCCAAGTTTCAAGGCATTGACTACTGAATATATATGTTTCTGTTTGCAGGAAGAGGAGGTTCAGCGGGCGGAAAATTCCGCATCGCTCTGGGTCTCCCAGTTGGCGCAGTTATTAACTGCGCTGACAACACCGGAGCGAAAAACCTGTACGTTATTGCTGTGAGTGGTATCAAAGGTCGTTTGAACAGACTGCCAGCTGCTGGTTCCGGTGACATGTTTGTTGCCACAGTCAAGAAAGGAAAGCCTGAGCTGAGGAAGAAGGGTAAGGCTTTGAAATTAGTCTGCACTTGTCTTTCAGTGCTGGTTTTCCTCTATGGTATGAATGCATGCAATTTCTCTGTGGCATTCATAAAGGATGGTCTTGTATTTTGTTTTAGATTAAGGGCATAAGTGAGAAAGATTGAGCTAACAAAAGAATGTCTCCAGGGTTTTTGTCCTTGTGTAGTAGGCACATCATAGTCATTTGTCTGACTAAAGGTGACAGTAGCCTCCTATCTCTGTAAGTAATTATCTTATGGCTGCCCAAATTCTTCATAGATACCACATTCGTTTTGTGAATTGGGTTAGGTTGAAATAATACTGCAGTTTGTAAAAAGGAAACTAAATGCTATTACTTTTTATGTGGGTGGACCCTCTCTGCTCTGCAGCACTATTACTTACCACACTTATCGGAGATGCGACTGATAAGGCCAACTTCTTTTGCGGCCAGTGTCACTCGCTTTCGGTTTGTGCTGCGTGGGGGTCTTGGAGGTTTGTTTTTGGCTGTGAATACTGTGGGCCTGTGCGTGAATTTTGTTCAAACATACACACGTTTTGTAAAGCGCCTTGAGCTGTGTTTATATATGGGAGTGGGCACTATAGAAATTTTCATTATTATTAATGTTTCACTTGTTTTAACAAGGTGCGCTGCGGGAAGGCATGTTCACCTGAATTAAACAATGGTTTGTTTTGCAGTTGATTTGATATCTTCGTATTGGCATGCGCATCGAAAAGTAATCGTTTAAAACCAGGAGTTATCTCGGTGGAGCTGAAGCCCACACTCCGTAGTTATCATTGAGGCCAAAACCAGATTATCCCACTTCCTTTTCGTAGTTGCTATTTTTGTTACAAACAGTCTGGAGTTCTCAAATGTTTCTGCAGTAAATTTCAAAACCATCATATGATTAATTTATATCAGGTAATATAGTTTTATGCAACATCAACCTCATGTGAAAGAATTTTTGTTTGACAAATGGGAGTCTTGTTTTCTGGTTTCCTTTAGAGTTCCTCGTCAGTTTGTTCAAATTTAATTGAACATCTAGAGCTACCAACTTATTTCAAATGAAAAATACGCTTGGGGTTCTAACCAATGCAGACGGTTCGCACACAAACACTTCAGCTGCAAAAAATTGGGGGGGGGGGGGTAAACTCTGGTCTGTACTTGGTCTGCTTTCTTCTTTTGTTGGGTTAAAAAAATGTGCCATTTCATTTCGGAGGCCGAGGTTTTTCGTATTTACAACATAAACACTGGCCCCAGTTTTATATTTTCTCTACAATGTCTATGATAGTATTCAGCAAATTTAGTTCTTTCTTTTCAACAGTAATGCCAGCGGTCGTCATCCGACAGAGGAAACCTTTCCGCAGAAAGGATGGCATCTTCATCTACTTTGAGGACAATGCGGGTGTAATTGTCAATCCCAAAGGAGAGATGAAAGGTAAATGCTTGGTTGTGAAGGACAAGATACAAATTATTTTTGTTTTTTGCTTTTGTGATACCCGTTGACACCTGATAAATCAAAGCGCTGGGTGAACCGTCCTAAGCAGCAAGATGGGTTGGCTTCATCCTCGAGGTCAATAGCTAAACTGCCACGCTGAAATGCTCATACTAAGGTGGTTAACACATTACTCCCTGAGGGTCTGGTCGGGAAGTCTATTCCCAAATCCAGGCAAGAGGAAGGAACCCACTTTCCGTGAAAACAAGCTCTAAAAACACTATAAACAAATTCCATAAATCCTGAAAAAAAATAGTTGTTAAACCAGTGTCACAGTGGCCAACATGCGGGAAAACACATAGTAAAAGTTCTTGAATATTTGAAAATCAAATCATATAACGTCCTTGATTTCATTTTTGCCTGTCGTGATTGTGATATTCGCTAGGCTTTTCTCGGTCTGAGAGTATGTTTCATGCAAACAGTCGGCTATGGCGGCAAGCGAAAATGTATGTGTGTGGCACCGAGGCTCGATCTGGAAAATCAAGATCTATTTTTGCTTTCATTGCCACCCAGAAATTTGCCAGTAATACATGTAGTCTGATAGCAATGACACATTGCTTGAAAATAGAGTAAATTCTAAGAACTCTGGTTTTAAAATTTTTATAATCCATTGATAAATTTTTAAAAAGTTATTGCGATTTTTGTTTGCAAAATGTTGGGGGACCTTCATATAGGAAAAAATAGCCAAAATGTGGGACATGTTTTGATGTATTTTGAGGAAAAACTGTTCTAAGTCAGTAATGAATTGGAGCATATGAATGAAACTTGGCATCTCCATGTGATTTTTAGTGCAGAATCTAGTTCTGCTATCACTTTTTCTATGTCTTTATTACTTTAGATCTTAAAGACTGATATTTGCGTGACATCGTTTTTACAGCGACGCGATCACCCCTTCTAAAACTCAGTAAAGCGCTATCGGGAAAACCTGCGATGTAGTCATCGGTGACCTATTTGGTTATAGGCAGCCAATCACATGCCCCCTAGCGATCACGCGCCTCTTGCATGCCGGCACCTCGCGTTTGGAATGCGTGATCTTGTTTCCAGATCTAGTGTTTTATCAATGGATGGGTGGTAATTTTAAGTTGGTACGTAAAATCTACTAAACGCAGAGATCTGAAAATTTGCAGCAATAAAGAAGACATGTGGGGCGCTTGTGTGGTCGGCGATCAACCCGCAGCTCCGTTAAGTTTTCGAACCGCAGAGGAAATTTGCGCAAACATGGCAATATCTCCGGTTCTAGTAATCGTTCGGGATTGTACGCTGGCATGTCGTTAATTTAACCTTTCCTCTGGTTGGTTGCCGAGTTTCATTTATTTTCGTCCAGGAGTTTTCCCGTAACTATACTTAGAAGAGAGTCACTTTTGATTCCAAGTGGCCTAAAAATTACCCCTCGTGCGGAGGCGCAGCGGGTGATTGGCATTGATAAGTCTGACAACACAACATTGTAACATGCAGGTTGTGCATTACAAACGCTGTGTAGCCATGAAAAAATGGGTTGTAGTCTATCTCTTCAAACAGGCTCCAAAATGCCATTTTCAACCCTCTTAAAGCACTACATTTCAATTTCTTCGGGAGCTTCGTCCCCTGAACCCCCACCAGGACACACTAACCCTGAGTGGTTGTCCAACCTTTTAAATAGTAGGAAAAATTGCTGGAATTTGCAAATGACAAAAACAGGTTTAGATAAGTTTTGTTCCCAGGTGAATATCATCGGTCATTTAGGTGTGGCAGCTTTGAACACTCAAATGGTATCTCAAAAGCACATGAAAGCCCAAATCAGCCAGTGTTATGCCAAGTCTATTCTTGGCTTTACCAAGAACAGAACAAGTGTTGTGAGCGCTATATACTGAAAGGAGTACCAACAGTAATAATAATCAACCAGAGCAGTTGTTGACATGTCTTCTCTTTCATAAGTTTTCAGTGTAGTTGCACAAAATTTGGCTACCTTGGAACATTTGGGATCGCACTGGCAGGGTTATTGTTGGTGTAGTGGGATTTTTAGGAGGAAGATTTACCTGGCCACCCTGTATTAACATGTTCTTATGCACAGTAGAATTGTAAATATATGAACAGTGTTCCTTGTTTCCTTTGCCTGCTGAGATCATGGTTAAGATTAATAAAGAGCAGAGACCTTTTTCATTATATTGAACATTTTCTCAACACCAACTCATTTCGTAAGTTTCGCACAAGGTACGTCGAACTGCCTGGATTTTTCTGGGGGTGGGGGTGGTGTTCCTTTTTATTTATAGGATATTGCTCAAGCTGTTTGTTATACTGTATTTTGCATAAAACAATTGTGTATACAATTTTCGTTGAAAATCTGTCACGTATCAAATGAGGCAAAACTTTGGTGTTTATATTGTACATACGTACATTTTAGTTGCATATTATTAATGTTTGTTGCTTTTTTTTTTTCAGGCTCTGCCATCACAGGCCCTGTTGCAAAAGAATGTGCTGACCTTTGGCCCCGTATTGCATCTAATGCCAGCTCCATTGCATAGTTCTCCATTGTAACCTTAATAAAGGTTTAAAAAGACAAATCGTTTTGTTTTATATATATTTGAATGTTTGCTGTCAGTGTGAAGTAGTGGTTGCAGGAACTCTGGCATGCTTTGGTTTTTCTTTCCTATTAGATCTATTGTCATCTTCCTTCTTTTCTTTATATTTACTTCTGGCCTTACTGTTGGGCAAGTCTGTAATATTAATATTAGTACTAAAACTCTTACAAAAACTAATGTAGAGAAAATAATGGAACAATAGCTGCTAGTCGTCGGATGGGAAAGTTTTTGTGTGCAAGTTTGATAGTTCTGGCAGTGTAGAACAACTCTGCGCTCTTTTTGTTTGTTGCTCACTTGTAACTCCTCAATTTTCTGCTCTTGTATGACTTTATTGTGTTGCAAGTGCTGTAAAACTCAACCAACACTTAACTTTGAAACTGAGTTCTGAAGACACGGTCAAGCATGCACCAGTAGTTTCGGGTTGTTCATCGTTATGAGTTACCTCTTTTCTTCACCTGGATCGATAACAGTTTACAATATGGCCCGGATCGATGACAACTCTTTTCTCCATGGGACACCTCTAACTTGTGAGAAAATTTTCTTTATGCCATCTCTTAAGAGTGGTGTGCAAGGAGCGCTGTGGCAATAGTGATAAAACATCAATTTTAAAATTTCTAACCAAAAAACCCCTCCCAACATGCATGATCTGTGGAGAGTGCAAGGACGGAAAACGGGTGTACTGTGCTGAGAAGTGTTGTTTTGGTGAAAATGTCCGTAGGGTACAGTACAAACCACATATTTATACCACTGCCTAATACCACCAACCTTGGGACAAGCATTAAATTGGAGTGGGTGCTCTGATCTGGATTGCTTCTTCTTACTTCTTTCCTGTCAGACATCTATCGTTTTTATCTTTCCTCCTTTTTTTATTTGTTACTCTCTTGTAACACCTCTAATCTTCGGCACTAAATTGACCTTCTTGTGTGGCGAGTGCTGTAAAACGCTAAATCAACATTGAGTTGGTAGAGCAAGGTTTTGATGTCCTCAATAAGCAGCCCTTGTTGCCATCTTGATTGGTGGTGGAATAGGAGGGGCAAACTGGCCCGTTTTGTCTCGCACTAACATACATTAGCACAGTAAACATGTGGCTGAGCGCAAAGTATGACTCCCATCTTGCCCTAGGCCTGTCCCCGTAGAATTATGCAAATTTAGATGGCTGAATTATGCACAAAAAAAAGCATTTTGCAAATTACTGTAACACCATTCGCGACATGTTTTGCACTTTTTCAGCAAGATTTTTCATGTTCTATGTATACCGTACAGAAAAATTGAAAACAGAACATATCAGTACTTTGTTGTGTATTTGGAAAGAAAACAATACACATCAGTCAGAAAAAAAAAACAACCAAAAAATATAATCTCTAACGTTCAGCTGTAGATCTAGATCTCTATAGAGGAAAGAAAAATGTCAAAAAAAAGACATGAGTATCAGAACAACTTTTGATGGATTGAAAAATGTATCATGCTAAAAAAGGAACAAATCCCAACCCATAACCAAGATCTTCTAACAAGGGAAATAACCAACTTGTCACTTAAATGAGACTTATTACGGTGATTACTTCCCTTTAGTCACATAGCGAGGCGTTAATATTATTATACAGTGGAGTCCACTTATAACGAGTCCGGAAAAAAAGAGAAGTCTGTTATAAAGACGCTTTTAGAAAAACCCCGGTTTTTTTCTCCTCTTTACCTTTGTAAACAAAGTACTGCTATAGCGCTATCAGACACACTTGCGAGTCGGTTATAGCGGAATATTGCTGCTGCTGTGCACAGTGCACGGGCCAATTATACAAAATGTAAAACCTCGCCAGTTGGGAAACGTGTTGCTGGTCTAGCGAAACAAAGAGTGGGAGAACCCATGTGTGTCAACAATGAAGTTAATGAAGGCCGGAGCGACTGAGTAGGGAGGGTGTGGCATGCGCAGACAAGCAGAACGCATCGTGTGATAGGCCAGCGTAAGCCTAGTTTAGATTATCAAGGCCTACCATGCCTCTCACTTCTCCGATGCGGGGATGGAGAGGTCACAGCAATGTGATGGATGGAGTGAATGTGTGACGTGCGCAAGCAGACGGAATGCACCACAGGGAGGGGTGGGGTGGGGGAAAACACAGCGGGGTGAATTAGCCCAGAGCCCGTTCTTTCTCTGATCGCCAATGCCGAGCTGTCAATTATCAGTCAACATCGTTAGATCTAGCGCTAGAGAAAGAAACCCGATTCGATTTTTGATCAAGTAAAAGTAAAACCTAGAGGTCCTGTTGAAACAAAATTATCATCAGGGGAGATAGCAAAAGGAAAGAAACAGAACACCAAACTCATAGATTAGGCCTACTTTACAGTTTCCCTTGAATTTATTACTGGATCCCTTAAAGCGAGAATCCTACTATAACGGTCAGTTTGCTCCGGTCCCCTCCCTCTCGTTATAATAGGATTCCACTGTATAATATAAACTGATACTGAAATAACTTAATTACAGTGGAATCCTGTTATAACGAGAGGTAGGGGGCCGGTGCGAAATGTCCGTTATAGCAGGATTCTCGTTACAAGGGACCCAGTAATACATTCAAGGGAAATAGTAAAGTAGGCCTAATCTATGAGTTTGGCGTTCTGTTTATTCCTTTTTGTATTTCCCCTGATGATGATTTGTTCAACATGATCTCTAGGTTTCACTTGATCAAAAATCGAATTAGGTTTCTTTCTCTAGCACTAGCAATGTTGACAGCTCGGCGTTGGCGATCAGCAGGAAAGGGCCCTGGCTCTAGGCTAACTCGCCCGCTGTGTTGTCCCCCACCCCACCACATCCTGTGGTGCGTTGCGTCTGTTAGCGCACGTCACACATTCACCCCATCTATCACGAATCACAGCATTGTTTGTGACCTCTCCGTCCCGCACTAGAGAAGTGAGAGGCACGGTATGCCTAGATAATCTTCTTGACTGGGCTGGCCTATCAACTATCACGCGATGCGTTCTGCTTGTCTGCGCATGCCACACCCTCCCCACTCATTCACTCCGGCCTTCATTGTTGGTTCGCGTGGGCTCTCCCATTTTTTGCTTCGCTGGATCACCAACTTTCTCAACTGGCAAGATTTTATATTTGTAATTGGCCTGCGCGCTGTGCACAGCAGCAGCAATATTCCGTTATAACCGACTCGCGTGATGCTCTGATTGCGCAATAGCAGTATTTTATTTACAAAGATAAAGAAGGAGAAAAAACGGGGTTTTAGAAAACAGTAGTCTCCGCCTAAACGCATGCCATACAAAAGCACGCTCCGCTCAAACACACGCTTTCGTCATCTGACGGGTTTTTGACTATATAATTTAGACGTACAAACGCACGGTCACTCCCTCTAAACGCACGCTCCGATCCGCGAAACAAGCCGACAAGTTAAGCTTGGCAAGGGGAAATGTTCACTACAACCTGCACAGCCTGCATAAGACAAGCCTAGAATTTACTAGAAAACCAGATATTTGGTGAGAGTGCCCCTCACGTCGTACAAAGAGAGTAATAGACAGCGTTTACACACCATACTTTCCACTGACGCACAGGTCTCGGTCTAACTCTAAGTCTAGGGCTGGTCGGTTAAATGTGTGCGTGTGTGGGTTTTTTTTTTTTTTTTTGGGGGGGGGGGGGGGGAATGAAAGGTTTTTTTGATTGGTCACTGGAAATGTATCTTTGATAGAAGGTTTCTGACTGGTGTTTGAGTTTGAGTGACTGCGTGTAATGTTTAGTTAGATCTAGGTCTGATGCGTAAATGCCGTAAAACATTAGACAGGCCTCTATAGGATTAAAGATTAGCCTAATAAGCTGCGCTCGAAGAACTTATAATGTGCTTGTTCAACGAATCACAAGAGAAAATGTTTCTCGAGGATGATTCGGCATGAATTTACGGTCGGGGGTGGGCGCTTGGAATGCCACGAGGCTGGTCCGTCGTCACTATGACTATGACGAACAGTTTCCTCTTAGGCTTTCTGTTCCCGACGTTTATAGCGCATATTCATTACATTGAGTTTGTCCCCAACCCATTCAACGCCGTTGTATTCTTAACCCCTGTCGGGGAATCCTTCACAAAACAGTCACGTGTCGTCACATTATCTGCCAAAATGACCCCCTGCTCCAAGGGAGATCACTAGAGTAATAAGGAATTGATATGACTGCGTCCCTTCCTCCCCTTGCAAAGGTTCATGTAAACGCACGCTCCGTATAAACACACACTAAGGAGCCCTCCCGAGCACCGTGCGTTTAGGCGGAGACTACTGTACTGTCTTTATAACAGACTTCTCGTTGTTTCAGGACTCATTATAAGTGGACTCCACTGTAATTGTTTTGTGAAAAAAACGCGGGGAATCCAAAATTATGTAAGCGTTGCAGAATTAATTACGCGAAAAAGCGCGGCCGCATAATCCTACGGGGACAGCTAGGCTTTTGTGACAAGCAGATTGTGTTGAAAATTTGATTCTATAACTGGGATTTGAGGGCACAGCACTCGTAATGCTCGATTAAATTTTAAACGGAAAAAAAAGAACTGAATAGTTACTTTTTTGTTTCGATCATTATTGGCCAGAGAAATGGGGTTATTGCTCTTTGATAAAATATTAATATATTCTACGTACTACACGTTTTTACGTTCAAGTTCAAGCAATTTAGACTTTAACGTGAATCTTGAATGATTCCTGCCGGATCAGAAACTTGGCTGTTTTTAGTGTCAATTCAATGGTCAAGCGAACCCTGTTGTGGTAAGTTTTTTGACTTTATGCCTGTCAACTGTCAGTCCTCTGGCTACCTAGAGCTAGTCTAGGATCTGCTACGTAGAGACTTGAGCGGAAGTCCTTCAGTAGAACATGGCTATAGCGGGACATTTTGTCCCAGAAGAAAAATCTTCCTGTAGGCAAGTTCCCGCTATAGGGATGCAAAGGGGAAATTAACGAAAAATTAAGTTCTAAAGATCCACATCATCTGATTACCGTACCTCCCTTCCGTGTCAATA